AGGCCAGAAAGGGGGCCGTTTGGCATACTGAAATAAGTAGCTCCGTGTACGTGTGCGTTCTTCCATTTTCTTTGTCGCGTCGCGCGTTCTAATTTGTCCAACCATTTTAATTAATATCTCGAAATTTTACGTGGTTGTTTGAAAAATGACGTATACAATTTTTGTTCACTTTTATGTGTTCTACTTATATTTTTCTTTTGGTCCATCTTACGCGGGACACCCTGTATGTATTTTCGATGCTGAATGTCATGCGATGATATATGTATATATTTCCAATACTATAGCTTAGATTGCTCGTTATTTTGAATGCCAATATAAGAAACATTTTTATTTCAGATAGTTGTATGTTGTAAGATATATACAGGGTGTCCCGAAACTGCCGGATGTTATTTTAATGGCAGATTCTTTAGAACATTTTAAAACGAAAACTTTCATACAAAAATGTCGAGGCTATAATAGTTTTCAAACGGGAAGCGATTATATTTCACCAATAACAGGGCTGAGATTTCGCGCGTTCAGGCACGTCGAAATGACAAGTGATAAAGGTGCCACACGCCATATAGAATAGCGGACATCTTCATGGTAATAATTGATCGACACTTTGACAGATTAAGTTAAATATTTCATTTTTACTTGAATCATATTTAAGATGTCTTACAACTATTATTCGTATAAAAATTATGCTAATGCAATACGTAGAAAAGCGGTAAAACATATTATGACAATGTTATTGTAAATTTATATGATTATAATATCGTAATTAATGATCATAATATCGTAAAAAAGTGACACTTATAGGAGCACCTTTATCATTTGTCATTTCGACGTGCCTGAGCGCGAATCTCAGCCCTGTTATTGGTGAAATATAATCGCTTCCCGTTTGAAAACTATTATAGCCTTGACATTTTTGTATGAAAGTTTTCGTTTTAAAATGTTCTAAAGAATCTGCCATTAAAATAACATCCGGTAGTTTCGGGACATCCTGTATATAAGATATACAAGATATTAATACTATTACTGTATATGCGCGTCTATGAAAATTGTGGAAGGACGGAATATTCATTGTGCTTTTAGGTTGCGGTAGGCAGTTGTAACAATGTCGATTACGTTGCATTGCTTGTTATCATTTGTAAAAGAACTGTCGTACAAATAAATTAGTTGAATTAATTTTTGGTTGGACGAAACAAAATTTCTGATTTTTATAAATCAAATTTAGTTCTGAGAACCAGAAATGTTCTGCTTCAACCAGAAAGCATTTAGTTCGTTCATTGTCAGATTAATTCAACCAAACTTTTATCTTCATCTAGTATTAAAGCAAAGCATGGCATACAGAATATGTTATTTTAAATAACACGTTTTAATATCTCTTCTGTAACTCGTCATAGAAAATTTTTTAGACAAAAATCGCATGATTCGAAAAGTGATACAAAGTAACGAAGTCAGTTTGATCTTGTGTAACAATACCAAAGTCACATAAGTATCACATTTAAATTTTTAAATGGAATCACAATTTTGTTAACCGATTTCTTTGGTTATTCTGTCTATAAAAGTACTGAAGTAAAATTATCGTAAAGTGAATATTTTTTTAGATACTTTACATTTTATTTTCATACTTTACATTTTATTTTCATACTTTTAAGTACAAGATATGAAATATCTCGTGAACTATCCACTTTTTGACAATTTCTATTTGCTATTTTAGTTTGTAGAATTATAAAAGAAATCGATAATACTGACTTGATGAAAAAATCAGAAATTCTGTTTTTCTTAACCAAAACGCATTTAGTTTGTTTATTGTCACATTAATTCAACTAATTTTTTTCCGTGTAGCCAGGCAAATCTACTATGGTATCTTTGAGATAAATTCTTTACGTATATTGGCTGTCAATGTTAGATAGCTACATGACTATTACTGCCAGAGTATTGAAACGACGATTATTCCTCTTAATGTTCCTTCCACTATCTATTACTAAAAGCACATCTGGTGGTTGTGGGACACTCTGTATAACAGCAAAAAGTTGCCACAACGGCCAGGTCATCTAACTGATGAACGGAGGAAGACGAAGCCGCTTTCGTGGCGTGCCGATATAAAGCTCTACGGGTTCCCCGTGATTTATCACCCTATCATCCAAAGCGTAGCCGAGTTCTCGCGACACGCTGCGTTCAAAATTGAAGTTGCGCGAATCGGAAAGGATGATCTTCAATATCAAGATCATGGAGAAGAGAAAATCTTCGAGAGAAAGAGTAAATTTCACTGAGGACTTGCCCGGTTTGCGAGTGAAATTTCAAGGATGCAATTGTATCTCTAAGGTATGCCATAGTTTGCTCGAACGCTATCGGCCGCCTACGAGCCGGATTGTGAGAGAAAAATAAGGGAAGTGCCTTGGTTTTTGCTTTCTTTACAGTTCGCGTTATCTCACGTTCCTCCGAACACGCTTTTACGGCTACCAAAGCCTTGAGAGGGTCACAATCGAATATCGATAACTGCTCGAAGAAAGTACTCGCGGAACGTACATATATGTAACTATATATCTCATGCAATAACGTCCAGTGCTCCCCGGTGTCCTTAGACGGCGCTACGTCGGGCGGAAACGATACGGCTGACCGTTTTTCGTAAGGGAAAACCGCGTAAAAAGAAAGCCAAAGGGTAAAAGCTGAAAACTGCGCGGCGCGGAAGGAAAAGAGACCGTGGGGATACGAGCGAACTGGATGTCTCTGCGGAGCTCTTTGGTAAGCTCGTAGCAGTCCTTGCGCGATGCCGAAAGCTCTTTGCGGGGAAAGCCCCGGCGTACCCGCGAAACGCACGTCGCATAAACGCTCCGCGTAAAAGGTACTCCACGTAGTCGGCCACGAAAATTCACGACAGGATACTGTATATTACCCAAAGGAGGAAGATACGAATCTCGCGTCGCGGAGCGATCCACCATCTGAGAAGTTTTCCCGCTCGCTATCGACATCTTGTCTCGCAGATTCGCCGGTGAAGTATTGGAATATTTGCGCCATTCGACATTAATCTTCCGCCGATCGCATTAAAAAAGTTACGCCAACGACTGCGCGTATCCGTCAGATACTATCATATTTCACTCAGAGGAAAAGACATGACGATGACAACTATATGGGTGACAACTATACGAGTTTTGTATAAAGAATTAATGTATGTAGTTTAATAAATATTTTATGGTTATTGCAACTAAAACTTTAGTTAAGTAATCAAACTTTAGTTTTAAAATTCTATTTAAAGTTTAGAAAAATGTTTATAACTTTTGATAGAAGCATTTTTCAAAGAAATGTTTCAGATAAAATTTACTTGTCTTTTTCCGTCTTAATCCAAATATATAACATTTTAAAGGAGGTTCCATTTGAAATTACAAAGTTACCTCCCGTCCCTCTTCAAGGAGGAGCAAGGGCGAATTTTTGTTTATGTAGTTAGAAAGATCCCTCAAAACTTTCTCATAAACAACTTTTGGATACGACAAATATTTTAGAGTTCTTGGGTTGTCACACTTTACGTGGGCTGCCCTGTATGTATACATACACAATATTACAAATAAGAAAAAACTTTTACTTTTTATTTTTCTGATGAGTGCTTTATATTTATACATCGGTTAATTATAGATGTTCAAATTAGTTAAAGATATACAGATACAAAAATAGATATATAAGTATTTAAATATATACGTATAAATGTAAATGTATTTTAAATATTAGTATAAATTATGAATTTTCTTTCTCTCCACCGCTGTATTTTGAAAACAAAACGATCAATAATTCTGAAATTTATGTATAAAGTATATATTAGGTTTTAATGTTATATATTAGGTTTTAATACTATATATTAGCTTTTAATATTATAGTAGTTTTTCATTTTAAAAAAATCACATAAAAGAAAAAATAGAAATTAAAAATAGCAAACCTCAAAGAACACGTGTAAAAAGTATCAACTTTAGTTGCAAACATCTCAGAATTCCCGAATAATCAATCTTTTTTTAATCGAACGAGCAGTTAGATAATATTTCACTGTGTATATAGGACAAATTTCATCAAATTTTCATGAAATTCGTTTCATAATATTTTAACTAATATTAGAATAGGAGACAAAACCTTGTCTTCTATCCTATGTGTATATTTTCTTAGCACCGCTATATTGAAG